CACACACACACACACACACACACACACACACACACACACACACACACACGGCGTGTGCACAGGCACACCAAAACATGTCTCCTTAAAACTGACAAGGCTTTCTCCACCTTTTGCTGTTCTTTGAACCTGAGAGATAGTGTTGGCAACTTAACCCCCAATAAATCTTTCTTCCTACCCTCAGAAGGGTTCAGTGTGGTGGTCTCACTGCACCCTCGCTTGCACTGGGGTTAAAGGCATGTGCCACCATGCCTCTGCCTCTTATTATGTATTTATCTTTTTAGCTTTCACGGAAAGTAATATTTTTCCACTTACTATACTCACAGAAATACTTACATTATTTCTATTATTATTGGGAAACTAGTACAGAGTACACACACACACACACACACACACACACACACACCCCAAAAAGGGCAAAAACACAAAATTTAGGAAATACTGAAATATGTGTCATATAAAAATGGCCTTTTACTAAAAATACACCCAACATACACAAAGCCTGGGAGACCCTGCCTCAAAACAAACAAGATCCATGTAAAGTAATAACCCAATAGAAATCTGGACAATTTATGTGTGCAGTTAATCAATGTGCATGTGAAAACTGTTCGCCTACATTAACAAAAAGAAATTTAAACTAAATACCAGGGGGCAGCACTTTTTTCATGCCTAAGAATAAAGAAAGAATAGTGATATTTTAAAAAGTGTAAGAATGGCCGGTTGCTAAGTACATAGTCAAACTTAATTAATCATGTCCTCTCAAAGGTTTAATTTTGTTTTAATAGCCATCAACATTTCACATTGAAATATACTTTTGGTATTTTTGTTTCTGAGAATTTATCTTATGGAAAAACATGTTCAAAGGAATATAAATATAAATAGTACCTATAAAAATAAATAGAAATAGTATAAATATTGAAAAGAGAAAAGTCAAGTAAATTATTATATATCCCTCAGAAAAACATAGACATAGTAAAAAGCAAGATGAATCTGTAAGCATTAATGGGCAACAATTTTCAGTACATACAATTAAGCGGCGAAGTCACAGAACACACTTCATATATTATTTATTTTAAATATCATCTATTAAAAATACCAAGCTACAAATATAACAGAAATCTACTTATAACAAAAGTAAAGAAAGGCACAGTAAAGGATACAGAAAAATACACAGTTGGCCTGGAGCTCACAACGCTCCTCCCTCAGCCTCCTGACAGCTGGTAATACAGGCATGTACCACCCGGCCACCCAAATCTATTCTCCTGCAGACTAAATAAGAGACAGAAAGCATATTCCGACCTTTTGTTTTTGGATTCACTGTCAGTTCTGCACTTGTCAAACTCCTGGCTAAGAGACTGCAGCTTCTCCTGAAGTCTCTTTTCTCGCTCTACACTTCCTTGATAAAATTTCATTTCTTCTTCCATTGCTTTCAGTTTTTCTTCCATAGCCTTAAATTCATGAAGAATTAGGTAGCTGACGCCACAGTATTTACAAACTGTTTCTTCAGGAGACATCTAGGAAACAGAACATGTATTTACTGAAATGTTATGTTTTTAATTGTGAAAAATAAAGCTCAACCAAAGATGCTATGCAACCATGCTGATGACAAAGGAAATGCACAGCCTGTTCTGCTGCTGGGACAGTCATCATGGCACTGCCTACATCTGGATAAAATTTCTAAAACCAACCTGAATCTTGGAAAGAGAAGAGATTTTCTCAAAGAAATGATCTCTCTGTGGTATCAGTAAGATTATTTACTCTTCAAATATCTTTTACAAAACAAAACTAAAAAAGAAATCCTTACAACTTTAGTTCTGAGATGAGTTTTCTATAATGTCAGAAGGAACCCATGGCCTTTAGCAATCAACTACACTATGACCCTTTAGATCATTGGTTCTCTACCTGTGGTCATGAACCCTTTGGGGTCGAATGACCCATTCACAGGGGTTGCATATCAGATATTTACATTACAATTCATAACAGTGCCAAAATTACAGTTATGAACTAGCAATAATGCTATAGTTGGGATCACCACAACATGGAAGAACTGTATTAAAGGCTCGCAGCATTGGAAAGGTTCAGAACACTGCTCCGGAGCCTCTGACTTTCTAAGATCTTATTTCACTCATTTATAAAAATGATGGTACTGCACCCAATGAACTCTATTCTCTTACTAGACTTCAATATTTTAAGATTTTTTTATAGAATTTAACATTCTGTCCAAAGTTACAATAGAAAATGCATTTTAAACTTATTATCTTCTTTGTTATACTTATTTCATAGATTAAAACTGAGACTCCTGAAGTTTCATAGCCAACTAAAAGGAGAGGATGTTAAAATTAAACCCAAGTCTTTGAAGAACCGATACTTATATATTTATGCACCATATCATATTTATCTACCATGGGTATATGAGTTCTTATGTTCTTCAGATAAAGTCTGTGTGTAGCTCTAGTCAATACAAGGGCAGTGAAAAAGCAAGCCAGGAAAAAGACCCTACTTTTTTTTTGTCTTAAGAATAAATAGTCCTTGGGTAGCCTATGTTTGATTTGCTTTTCATAAAGGTAAGAGAGCTCCAGGGCACCAAAGTAAAATCAATTCTTAGATTGCTCAATAAGCACTCTTTTAAAAAAACACAATGTCTCATCATTGGTTGGAATTTAATAACTAGCCCAAAATGGCCTCAAACCCACTTCTACCTTATTGTCTCGAATACTGGGAGTACAGGAAACACACCACATCTGGTCATCTGGTTAAAGTGTTTCTTCTTAATGCAACCTCCCTTGAGATAGTAGAAAGTGTCCCTGTAACTATGTTATAGCACAAGGATGTAGAAAG